TAAGGAAATGCAATGCAAAAAAAGATGTTTGATGATTGCAAATATTATTGTTACTTTATTATATAGTCAGTTACAGACCAAAACATCTAGCTGTCTTTGTATCTTCCAATGTTACAATCTATAAAGGAATTCAATTTTTGTTGAAACTAGGATTCTGGTTATTGTGTGAAAACATTTTATTTAAAAATTCAGTCCATTCTATCCTTCTTGGGGGTAGGGGGGAGAATTCCAATTGTGCTTCTAAGATCTCCTTCCAGAAGAAATTTTCTACCTCAAAAAATCAAGGACTTTCCTGAAAACCATAGACCGCGGACAGCACATTATCCTCAAGCTGGTGAATCAGAGGGATTTTCTCACTAGACGTCCTTTCTGCTCTCTAGTTTGAATTATCAAGAAAACGGCTTGGCTTATCTCTGAAAATAACCTTGTTGACAATACAAATATGGACTTAAATTCGCTACCTCCACTTTTAAGATTTAAGAAGCCCCCAGTAAATGTCAGGGGGTGTCAATGTGTTTGCTGTGATACTCGGTTATTATTAGTGCTTAACTGCAATTCCACACCAGCGCCATGCTGCCAGCACTGCCATAAATTTTAATGTGATCATGTGCTCTTCTCTTTTCATATCCAGTGAATTCTGCAAGATCATAATATTCTATATGAACCCTAGCTGAACCTTAGTGTGATATGAAGAAAGAACAAGATTTCTAGCAGTGATAGTTGTTCATCATCTTGTAGTTTTTTTTGTTAGAAAAACTGGACACTGAACAACATGGTTCCTTGAATAATATTACCCTAAACTAAATTCGCTCATTCAATTAATCTTTATTGAGCCCCTACAGGATGCAGGGCATGGCCCAAAGTGCTAATGAGTACATTTATGGGATAGTAAAGAATACTGACTCTTAAGAAAACCTTTTTCCCCCCCTTGGAAAATCTGTCAGAGCTCATACATCATTTATAAAACTGAAAAATGTCTCTGCAACCTCAGCACCACTACACGCCTTTTATTTTACAGAATACTATCAAAAGCACAGTCATTTCCTATATCTGGTCTATGTTGTGAATATAAGAATGTGTCCATCATCTTTCATTATGTATGTGCTTGATGGATATTTATTTATAAATAAAAAAATTATTATATTATTTATAATATTTATAAATAAATATTTATTCTATAAATAAAGAGAAAATTCTATAATTATCATTGATTTGCAGATTTTTTATTCTTTGTTTTAACTGCAAATAATAACTGGCACTTTATACTGTATTTAAAAGAGGAATTGAAAATATTTGGTAAAATTTAATCATCTAAATGTACCTTTAAAAGTAAAGGATAACATTGAAGCTTTCATTTTACAAATTCGAAATTTCAGGCCAGAGGCATGAAACAAATTAGTAAGTCATTAATGGGGTTCTCACTTAACTAAATATCCACCATTTTATATCAAGTTCCTTGTCATACAAAGTAGCCCCTCTTTTTTCAAATTTCTAAAGGAACAAAATCGTTTGTTACCTAGACATGAGCCTGAATATTTTTGTAAAACACAATTCTGAGTCAATACATTTGTTTTCTGTGTGTGAAATGATTTTAGGGTTAAAGGTTAGGAAGCTAGTGCATATATTTATAATTTGCTTGTCCTGTCATACATGGTGCCAAAATTTCCTCAGCAGTTACACACAACTATGCACGTTCCCAATTCCAGAGACAATGGATTTGGGAAAATGCACAATCACAGATTTAAGTTCACATGGAGAACGCCGTATTTTTCATGTAACAGCCCAGTGGGCGCGGAGCCAGTCATAAAACAGGCCTATTCTGATAGGAGGGGCTCTCTTCAGACAGACTGGCTTTGCTGGTGTCTCTTTTAAGAGAAACATTTATTTTGTGTTAGGGTGTGTGCCTCAGTATCTCCTGTTAGAGGAAAAGAAGCATTTCCAAGGAAGGTTGGTAAATTTTTTTTCCTCTTCTTTTCCAGCAACTGGCTGGGAATCTTTGCCTTGGAGTGCCATCTAGAGGAAAATTCAGTGTACATGCACCATGCTTTCTCAGATTTGTGAGCCAGGCTGAATCCAGAGGTTGGTGTATGGTGAATGTCTTTTTCTCCAGATTAATACAGAATTTTGGTTCTAACTCAACATAAGGAAATGATTACTTGAATGGAAATAGAATCACTGATGAGATCAAAATAGTGAAAGACCCTAAGTCTTTAGTAGAGCCCGAAGCGTTAGTGACCATTCATGGAAATAAGTAGAATATCATTTTGCTATAGGCAGAGGTCATATTTCAGAAATTGGAATTTATGAATAAGTTAAATTCATTTTTACCTACACTGGTCAAGTAATCTCTGTTATCTCCATAGTTATATACTTAATTTAAAAATTCTGATTGTAACCATATTGTCCATGGTCAAGTTGGAGAAGATAGCTGCTTGTGTTAAGGACAAACAAAAGCTGGCACTTTCCACTTATTGTAACCGTTAGTCAAGTTCAGCAAAATTAAATGAGCAGAAAATAATATGTTTTCCAGATGTGGCTACTCAGTTCAATGTAAGGGAGAAAAAATAATATTTACTAACATATTCTTTCCAAAGTCATGTTTTTATTTTGGAATCCCCTCCATCTTAGAGAACTTTAACAGCAAAGTCTCCTCTTTTTCCACTCGCATGAATATAAAAACAAAACCCAAACCTTTTCCAACAGTGATGCCCTTCAAGATTGATGAGCAGATGTGCAAAAACAACTGAACCTTTGAAATGTTCTGACAGTATGAGTATCCCCATTGTGCTGACATAGTTAGTTTGAGAGTTCTACATTCTTCAGTTTCTTGAAAAGGATCAAGACTGTCTATATCATGGAACTACTGACTGATGATAACTGCGTGTATATTTCCTTTTGCTCCTAAGTGCTCACCCCCTGGCCCTTGCCAGATTCCTCCATCCCAACTATTTTAAGGCTCATCATAAAAATCTGTCTCTGTCCTTGGCATCTAGCTCACAATGTCACAGACATTTCTTTTTTCTTCATTGAGCAAGATTCCTGCTTACTTATTCTGGCAATTTGCCATAAGTTTATAAGTTCTCCAAAATAAGTGGTTAATAAATTCTTTGTTGAATGTCATGTGTGAGCCAGACGCATGAACTATGCACACAAATTATTCCTTGTCTACTGAGATCTTATATGGAAAAGCAAAATTAAATTTTTTTTTTCAAGCAATGTTGGCACTTGAGCAATTAAGCCTCATGGTTCAAAGCGTCTTCCTTGCTCACTTGACTGTTTGACAGCTCTGGTGGTGATTGCAACAGAGAGATGGGGCCAGTCCAGCTTGTCTAGGCCAGTGTGCTGATTCCTTAAGCACTGGGGGGGGGGGCCCCAATACACATGTCACTGAGTGTAAAAGTGAAGACATTTTGGTTTCATCTTCTCATGCCATGTACACATGTGAGTTCAAGTCAATCCAATGTACATTTGTTGAAAACTACCAAGTGCAGGAGAGAGTACAAGCTACTGGTGGGGCCCTCAATAAATAGGTGTTTTGAAAATAAGTGAATGTGGTTAAAAGAATAAGAATTATCTTTTCCCTCACTCAGCTTGCTCTGTCAGAGAATGAGAGATTTGTAACTTAAGGGGGGGGGGGGGGTCCCAATACACATGTCACTGAGTGTAAAAGTGAAGACATTTTGGTTTCATCTTCTCATGCCATGTACACATGTGAGTTCAAGTCAATCCAATGTACATTTGTTGAAAACTACCAAGTGCAGGAGAGAGTACAAGCTACTGGTGGGGCCCTCAATAAATAGGTGTTTTGAAAATAAGTGAATGTGGTTAAAAGAATAAGAATTATCTTTTCCCTCACTCAGCTTGCTCTGTCAGAGAATGAGAGATTTGTAACTTAAAATACACAGTTGAAAGAGGGATGTGTTGTGCTAGATCCAGTGCAGAGAAAGAAGTAATTATTAATGCTTTGGGAGAAAGGGGAAGACTTTGTTGAAAAACTGGCATTAGATTAATGCCTTAAAGGATAAGTAAAATTTTAATAGGCAGAGAACGGGGCAGAGATTTTCATGAGGAAGAAGCCAAATAGTCTTTGCTCATTTGGAATCTATTTCGCTTGGAATTCCCAATTTTGTGTTTAAATTTTAATCTGGGTGCAGATATAAGGTATTGGTATTTAGGTTGTGAGAATCCAAAACTGACGTTCTCTTTTTCTGTATGGTAAAAATGATCACACCCACCCACCCACACACATATATGTATGCAGATATCACTATAATGCCAAAGAAACCAACATATTTAAGCCATAAAGCATTTTACTTGATGATAGTTAACAATATAAGTGTAAATAAGGCCAAAACAAGCCTTATTTCTTGCCATTGAATGGGGATGAACAGAGAATTTTGTTTCAATCTTTGCCACAATCATTTACTTTGAGCTTTCATTCCAAGGCTTACCTCTGGCTACCATTATTGGGTTACAGCCCCTGGGGCAGAGGTTTTAAGCCTAGGGTGAGCTCCTAAATGCTGACAGCATCCACTCCTACTCCTTCCTTCTCCCTTGGCCTCCCTGAGTATTTTCCCAAATAGACATGCTCTTGCAGGATTTCCATGTGCTTGTGGATAATGTTCATTACTTTTCGCTTCCCAAGAGCCCAGAGTCTTATCCAGTGACCTCTTTGTTCTGTTACTCATCTCTATTTCCTTTGCAGAAAGATCACTTTGAAAATCCAAGCATTTCTTTTGCAAAAGAAGCAGTTTATCAAGATAAAACATTGAAAAGAGGCTCACATAATCATTCTAAGGCTATACCTTCTTCAAGGTATCAGTGATTTTACAGAAAGCTCAAAAAGAGTTGTCACATACATATTCCCATAACCAGGGCAGGTAAGTTCTGACATAAAATAATCACGTGGCAATTTCTTAGAGAAATGGAAGTGTAAAGGAGAAGGCCTGTAGGTCCACACGAATGAAAGATGACCTTCCACCATCACTGAACACACTTACAGTTAACATCGCAAACATCAGTTGGCACACATTGAAGGCGTGTCTCCAGTTGTGGTACAGAACCATTCGATAATTTTTCCTCACTGTCAAAAGCCACCTACACAGAGTCTGAAATGAGAGGGAAGAGGTGGCATCAGGCAGTTGTATGTGTCTACAGTAGATCATTATTAAAACAATGCCTGAAGTCTGAGTAACACTCAAGGATCAAAGCCCTTCCACAAACACCTCATCTGATCCTTACAGTAATCCCATGAGGTGTGCGGGGAAGGGATTATCATCCCCATTTTGTATTTGGGAAACCTGTGGTTCAGAGTGGCTACCACGCTGTCCCAGGTGCGCTCCTTGGATCACACAGGACAGAACATCTTACCTCATAGTCGATTTTAAACTTCTGTACCATTCCCAGCTCCATGAACATTCGAAGAGCAGCCGTGATCATGGCATCCACATCGAGAGAAAAGTCATCAAAATGAATGTCATCGATGGCAAGTTCTGACACCAGAGGGATGTTGGCTGCCTACAAAATCAAAAGACATGTCAGGCCAAGTTCACCAGCTTTCCCAAACCCCTCATCCTGCCCTACTCCCCAGCTTATCAGAAGTGCCACATAAATCAGGCCTGACCTGCACTTACACCCTGATACAGCTAAACTCTGAGCTGTAAATGCCTTTTGTTTCTGAACTGCAAATGCCCCAAGTAAATGAAGAGAGAAGGGGGGAGGGGAGCTAATCTGAAGATAAAATATATGCACTGGATCTAGTCTGCAGAATTGAGAGCACAGAACTGTCCAATTTACTGAACCCACGGTCCATGCAATACATTCTGATGCATATTACCGAGCACTAAATGCAAGAAACACGTGGGCAGCCAGCAGCTGTGAATTTTAATTGCTGCTGTTCAGAAGGAGATAGGAATATACCACTTTGCCTTCTTTCTTGTATTCTTGTATCCTGCAGCTTGCACATGCTCTTTGTTATGCATGTGTTCCTTATATTCAGAAAGATAGGAAGGATCAGACAGCACATCTCTCTGGTGCAAAATGTGTTGTCTTAATAAAATGGAGATGTTTGGAGAGCTAGCATATGTATATATTTCACTGAAGAGCTGCATTTTGCTATACTGTTTAGCTTCACTCTATATAACATCACAATGTAATTAAAATACTGGTTATACATATTCAGGGTTTTAAAAATGCTGATGTTAGACAGCTGTCAATCAGTTGACCCACACAAACCTAAAGAAAAAAAGATCTTTGGAAATCATTTGAATGCTGATTTCATCAGTTTTACCATATCCTTTGGGCCACTCTTGGTAAGGAAGTCACTTTTATGTTCTCAGGTTATCAGAGACCATTCTGTATTCATATTCCCTGTCTATTCACTGGATATAAATTACTGCAGCAGTAATTTATGCCCTGGAACTACTTTGGCTGAGCAATTAAATCCAACTCTTGTCACTCTAAGGATTTCAGAAACCACATAATCAATCCTTTTTTCCCAACTCTATGCTCCTCCATAGGAACTTACATCTCTAGGCTAAAATCCAAACACTGGTTATTCCCCACAACATGGAAGAACAATGAACAAATATATAAATTACAGGACAATTAACCTTCTGTTCTGTAGATTAGTTATTTTTATCAAAAAATTAATCACCTTACCCTTCAGTAAATAATCTTAACATGTTAACATGTTTATAGACTCTAGCTCCTTGGAATTAAAAAGATAAGCCTTGTGAAATTCAAACATGGTAGTGGAAACTCATCTTTGGTGTATGTGTCCTTGCTCAGAGTTCCTGGCCCCATGCAAGCACGTTCCCTTTTTATTTTTTAATTTGAAAAATATTTTTTAATCAAAGATATAGATGCATATTTTAAGAACAAATTAGGTCTATAAGGCTAGTTATACAAACACATACACTAGCAGAACTCTTTTGGTACCAAAAGTTTCCCTCAACCAGGGGCAACAACTTTCAAGTCATCTAGATAATTCCTTGCTCAGAGTTCCTGGCCCCATGCAAGCACGTTCCCTTTTTATTTTTTAATTTGAAAAAATTTTTTAATCAAAGATATAGATGCATATTTTAAGAACAAATTAGGTCTATAAGGCTAGTTATACAAACACATACACTAGCAGAAATCTTTTGGTACCAAAAGTTTCCCTCAACCAGAGGCAACAACTTTCAAGTCATCTAGATAATTTTTTTTTTTTTTTTTTGTATTTGGCAAAGTAAGATGCTTGCAGTTTTATTTTTTGACTAATTTCTGTTTTAAGCATTATCTGTCTATTAACTTCCCACCACTGAAATGATGATTAAGCTGTCTTACACTACATCTTCCAATCCCTGCTGCCTCATGTACTAACCTTTTTCATTCCCTTATGTGTGAACTTTGCTCAGATAAATGTTCAGGATTTATATTATTACGACTACATATAAGATATTCATAGCTAAGTCACGCAATTTACTGTGATTACTTTTCCTTTCCTTGACCACATTTTGTATTCTGCAGAGTTAATAATTGTTTTCTTTAATGTGTGCTTAGTTTTCTACGTACTTATAATTAATTCAACCCATCAGTTGTCTAAGTCTCCTCTCAGAATGCTTTGGGTATTCCATCAATTTCATGAAGAAATCACTTCTGGAACTTTCTGCACTTCTTCAGTCTGAGCTGTCTGTCTTCTACATCTGACGTATTGTTTTCATTCTAGGATGCTCTTTCACCACAATTCCGGGGGTGCCTTCGTCTTTCTCTTTTGTTTCTGTATCCCACGTCTTTATCTGTCTTGGTTTCTCCCCTCATTTTGGTGAGACATTGCTATGGGTTGAATGTGTCCCCCAAAAGTTCATGTATTGGAAACTTGACCCCATTGTAACAGTGCTAAGATGGTGGGAAATCCAATTGTGGTACTTAAAAGGTGGAGACTTTAGGAGGTGATTGGATCATAAGGGCCCTGTCCTCTTGAGTGGATTAACCCATTAATGGGTTAATGGGTTATCAGGGAGTGGTTCTGTCGGCTTTATAAGGAGAGCAAGTGAGCAGGTTTTATCTCTCTTGTTCATGCCAGTCTCACCATGTGACCTCTGGTCACCACAGGACCCTGGTTAATGGGTTATCAGGGAGTGGTTCTGTCGGCTTTATAAGGAGAGCAAGTGAGCAGGTTTTTTCTCTCTTGTTCATGCCAGTCTCACCATGTGATATTCTGGTCACCACAGGACCCTATAGAGAGTTCCCACCAAGAAGAAGGCCCCTTGGACCGTGGACTTCTCAGCCTCTGAAACTGTAAGAAATACATTTCATTTCTTTATAAGTTACCCAGTTTTAAGTATTCTGTTTTAAGCAACAGAAAACGAACTAATACAGACACATCCTTCAGTAGCTTCCCAAGAAAAGGTGTGGGGTAGGTAGATTTGAGCCCTTGCATTCTGAAGTGTTTTCATATTATTGGCACATTTCATTGATAGTTTGTCTAGATACAGATTTCTAGGTCAGAACCATTCCATTAGAATTTCAAAGGCATTGTTCTATCAGCTTTAGATGTTACTTTTGAGAAGTCAGAAGCTATTCTGGGCTCTTATTCCATTTTCGTAGGATCTTTGTTTGCTTCCAGAGTTCTGAAATGTCATGAAACTGTGCCTTGGTGTGGGTTTATTTTTGTTCATAATTCTAAATTCTTTGTGACCCTTTAACCTGGAAAATTATGTCCTTTAATTCTAGATGGTTTAAAAATGAGCTCTTTGATTATTTCTTCCTGTCTCTTATTCTTCTGGAATTCCTTTTACTTGAACTTGGGACTTGTTTTTCTTTATTTTTTCCATTCTTTTTTCTTTTTTCATGTCTTCTATTTCTCATATTTTTCATTATTTTCTTTTTGCTCCATTTTCTGAGAAATATCCTCTCTTCTCATTCTTGAGATTTTAATATCACAGTTTTTATTTCTAAGAGCTATTCTTTTGTTGTCTGGAGATTCCTTTTTTATTTTTATTTTTCAATAGCACCCTAATTTTGTCTCATGGATGCAATATCTTCTCTTACCTCTCTGAGGGTGTTAATGATAAGTCTCTGACATTTTCTTCTCCCTTCACAGTTTACTTCACTCCTTTCACTTTGTTTTAGTCTCTCTTTTTTTATTGTGATAGAAAAACACATAACATAAATTTACTCTCTTAATTTTTAAGTGCATAGTATACAGTATTGTTGACTATATGCACATCGTTGTACAACAAATATCTAGAACTTGTTCATCGTGCGTGACTGAATCTTCCTAGCCATTGAACAACAGCTCCCTCTCTCCTCCTCCCAGCTCCTGGCAAACACCATTCTACTTTCTGTTTCTGAATTTGATTACTCTAACCACCTCACATAAGTAAATTATGCAGTATTTGTCTTTTTGTGATTGGCTTATTTGACTTAGCATAATGTCCTCAGAGTTCATTCATGTTGTTGCAAATGACAGGATTTCCTTCTTTTCTAAGGCTGACAATATTCTATTGTATGTGTATACCACACTTTCTTTGCATTCATACACCTGTGGTTTAGTGTCTTTCTTAATCAGCTATCCTTCAATAAATTATTTTAATATATTAAGTCTTTAGGAATATTAGAGGTTTTCCTTAGCTGTATAGTAATCTTTGATAGTCTGCTCCAGTTTAAAAGTGGGCCTCTAAAAGCTTCTATTATTGCTTCTTGAGGATTCTGTGGAGGAGGATCTGACTGAACCTGTTTCATTGGGGAAGCCACCAAGTGTCAGTGTCTTTGTGTCTTTGCTAAAGCTACTCAGATTCCCCAGAGAAGAATCTTCTGGCTGGAGGCTAGTGGGCTGGGGGTGAGAGGAGGAGTCTCAGCACTGGTCTGAACCTGTCCATGCAATCCTCTGTTCTCAGCCTGCAGTCCTACCCTCAAGCTCTGCACTGATGATCCCTGAACCTGAAGACCTGCTGTTATACCCTCTCCAGAGCATAAGACTTCAGCCTTTATGGGGTGGAGTCATACAAAAGATCCAGGGAAGTAACTTCTTACACTTTCCATTTTCCTGTTTATAGCCTCTCTGTTCCCACTTCCAAAGGTACTTAAATAGCCAATTCCTGAGCTATTGGTGGGGGGCAGTCTGTGGTATAAATCTGCCTGCCTCTCAGCTGTTCCCATTGCTAGCTTATTTTGGCTTTCTTAAGGTTTCCTAATTACTTAATATTTATCATCTGTTTTCTAGACTCCAAAATTTTGTCATTGGTAAGTCTTCTCTCAATTCCTTTGAGAATTAATGCCTTCAAAAAGTACTTTTACTGTTGTTTTAGTGGGGCTTGGGTAGGGAACAAAAGAAAATGAATGTGTTTAATCTACTATCTTTATCCAAAAACCATTGAAATTATCTTTATTAAATGATACCTTCAATGGTCAGCTTGGAGAGCTCAGAGGTAAGCCAGCCTTTGGTCTTTTGCCTTCTGTTTCTCTGTGCACGGGCCTGGTTGTGACTGTGTAGGTCTTCTTTTCCTGTTCTGTGCCCCCTGTGTTCACTTGAG